AATATTGCCAGGAGAATGCTGAGAAGGCAGGAAAAGGGGACCTGGAAATAAGATTAATGATAGCAGGCCGAAAGAATGTTATCTTGGCTGTATATAAACCTGCTTGGGAATTGACAATAGAAAGGGGGGGAAAAAGATTAATGAAATCTTCCAGAGTATTTTTGATGAGACTTATATAGATCAGAAACCTTTGCCTCTGAGGAGCGAGTCGTTGATTATTTGGACAAATCGTGGTTACCTCAGGTAAGTGAAGTGAGAAAAGAAGAGAAGAAAGCGCTTGGGTAGACTCTTAGATTCAGAGCAGGACGATAAAGGAAAAGGATCTCTTCACGTACACAGAAAACCCCTTGGTACTTCGCCCACGCTCCGATCAAGTCCTTTGGCCAGATTTTTGACAGTTCTGTCTTCTGTTCAGTCTGAGAAAGCCACACTTATGACGGAGGGCGGGGGTGCTGCGTTCTATCCCACGCGTCTGTAAAAGCACACATGGAAAACATAATCGCGGAATTATTCAAGGGCCTAGATACCAGGAGCAATGTTCCCTCTAAGCTGTGGGGTCTTGTGAGCAAAAATCCTACTTTGTGAGCTACTGGCATTAAAGTTGTGAGTGAGCGATTTGGCTACTGCGTAAATTAGTTTGCTCTGGAGCCCCATCCTTCCCGAGCTAAGACAAAAATGTGTGAGCCGGAGGCTAAAAAACTGTGAGCTAGCTCACATTAACTCAGCTTAGAGGGGACACTGACCAGGAGGCTGGTGAAATGAAGACTGGCTTTGGAACAGTCCTCAGGCTTTCCAGCCGAAGAATAGGGTCGTCCGATTACATAACATGTGATAACAGGTTGGACTTGTATCCGGGAGATCTGCATTTATTCCCTTGTTTGTGGCCTTGGGATGGATGCGGTGATTGGGGGGGGGGGAGCCCTGAACCCAGGCCATGTGATGGTCTGGATCCATCACTTCTCCCCTTTTGCTTATCTCAGCGTGAGTCCAGCTTTCGGGTTGTTCTCCAGAGCACAGCAGAAGAGTAGGGTGAATGGATTGGGATCACGCTGCGCCTGGGTCCTTTTTCAGTGGGCCCGTCAGGATAAGAAGGATCTCAGAAGTTGCTCCGCAGTTGCCAGTGCCGGTCTCATCAAGTAACCACCTCTAGCACTTCAAGCTCCTGTTTTCTCAGGTAGGAGCGGCAGTGATGTAATGCACACGGTGGAGGCGAGGCCAGGCACATCAGCAGTAGTAAAGCTCTTTTTTCCCCCCTCCTTTTTTTGGCAAACGAAAAGCAATAATAATAATACTCAGGGGTCGTTTCGTAGAAAAAGAGCTAGGGGAACTCACTAGCATATGCCACACCCCCTGACATCACCGGAAGTGTGTCATAAGGCCACACACCCCGCCCCCAACGGTCCCGGCCGGTGGCGCTGGCCTTGCAGCTCCACTGCCGAGCCCCATGAGGGGCCCGGTGGTGGACCTGCAAGGCCAGTGGGAGTGCAAGGAAGCCCCGCGAAGGCCCTCCCTGGCCCCAGGCAGGCAGGGGTGGGGAGAGGCAGGGAGGAAGCAACTTACCCTCCCTCTTCTCCTGCCTCCTCCTGGCTGAATGAGGGCCAGAAGCGGGGCGGCCGGAAGCAGGGGGCGGGGCTTCGTCATGTGCCCCGCCCCCCGTACCTCCCCCACGTTCCCTTCCGAAATGACCTCTGATAATACTGTATTTGCTATTCCAAATGCGTTTTTGGCCTTTCAGGACATTTGTCCATCTCTCTGAGAAAGAAGCTGGGGTCAGTCCAGCATGTAATGATTCTTCCATTAGTATAAAAGAGCTCAGCATTGTTTTGTAAAATAAAAAGGTCATTTGGATAGAAATCATTTTTACAGGACCAAATTAACTTCAAGTGCGAGGTGGTCCCTTTCGGTTCTAGAGCCAATGGAAAATTCGCTTATAAAAGGAAGTGTTGAAAGGCGAGCAGACACAGTAATCTACTACACTGCAGCCTCGCGTAGAAACATATGTAAATTCATTGGTGTCGGGAAACTGAGAAATACCGTTTAAACGAATCAAGTTGTGTGTGACACAAAGTTCCCCTCAATTGGACCCCGCCTTATTGATCAGGGAGTCTTTTGATGTTCTGGAAAGAGAAAGGACGGGGAGGGGGGAGTGATTCCTCATTCACCTCATAGCTCAATTGTGAGCTCAGTGTTTGATTGTCTGGACCAGTTCTGTCCAGTTTCACTGAAAATATCATGATCTGGTGACATTCAAAACCTTACTTGTGTATGGGTCGGGTTGCCAATGCCAGGGCCTGCAAGACACAGCTGTTCCGCCAGGCTTTTGGTTGAGGCAGGGGTCATTTCCTACAGGAGCGCACGGGAGCGGAGTTCCGGCAATAAAGAGCCCAGGGGGTGGGCACATGCAGCAAGCCCTGCCCCCTGCTCCTTCTCTCCCTCTTTTTTCCCTCTTTCCTTTTTTTCCCTCTTTACCTCCTTCTTCTCTTTCTTTCCTTCTTTATCTTTCTTTTCCTCCTTTTTTCCTTCCTTCTTTCTTTTCCTCTTTCTTTCCTTCTCTCCTTCTTTCCCTCTTTATTTCTGTCTCTCCCTCTTTCTTTCCCTTAGTCCCTCCTTCTTTCCTTCTCTTTCTTTCCTTCTTTATCTTTCTTTCTTTTCCTCCTTTTTTCTTTCCTTCTTTCTTTTCCTTTTTCTTTCCTTCTCTCGTTCTTTCCCTCTTTATTTCTGTCTCTCCCTCTTTCTTTCCCTCGATCCCTCCTTCTTTCCTTCTCTTTCTTTCCCTCTCTCTCTCTCTCTTTCTTTCTGCACAGATCTGTGTGAGGGCAGATCTGTGCGTGCCTCCCCAGCTAGCAATCCAAAACAGTCCAGTGGCACCTTTAAGGCCAAGTTTTATTCAGGTACAAGCTCTCCCTCCTCTGCAAAGACAGATCTGCATGCCCCCCCCCCATAGCTAGCAATCCAAAACAGTCCAGGGGAGCCTGAGCGGTGGGTGTTGCCTTCTGACACACTTCCGGTGATGTCAGGGGGTGTGGCATATGCAAATGAGTCGTGCTAATGAGCTCCTGCACCTCTTTTTCTCCGA